CCCAGTCCCAGGATCCAGCCCTGGCTGATACCCCATGGCCTGGGCTGCTGCTCATCCTTCCCCCCACTCCCCATGGCACTGGGAGCTCTCCACACATCCCAAAATCCACCTGATCCAGTCTGTATGTGCCCAGTTCAGCTTCAGGGATACCACTGCAAAGAGTGCCAAAGGCAAAGTAAACAATCTCCACTGCTCTCCACCACAGGGCCAATCATTTCATCTTAGAAAGCCACGGGAATAGTTGGGCAAAATTTGCCCTTGGTAAATCCATGCTGGATTTTCCCCACCATCTCTTTCATATGTGGCTTCCAGGGGGATTTGCTCCATAACCTTCCCTGTAAATGTTCCAGCTCCAGCTGAGCTTTGTCTTTCCCAGTTCTGGCCTGCACATCCAGGCAATATCCCTCATTTCTCTGCCTTTAGTTTCAAACTCTGTGTACTTTCTTTTTGTGTTTGAGCCCAGTTAGGAGCTCCTTCTTTATCCCTGCTGGTCTCCTGGACACACATGCTCCAACTCCTGCACTTTGGAGGAGACCATTCCTGTGCTTTGAGAAGACTGTCCTTCAGGAGCAAATGGTTTCCCTCTTGTCCATTCACACAGTCTCTCATGGGAACCTACCAAAAATATCCCTGAACAAGCCAAAACCTCCTGTCTGGAAGTTCCAGGCTGTAATTCTCAGTTCCACCTCCACTCACCAGCCAGACACAGGCAGCCTGCAACAAGGAATTCCAGCCTGCTCCCAAAACTCCTTCCCCTGCTCCCACCCCAACACACAGCACAGTGAAAAACCCACACACAAACCAGGACCTGCAACCTGCAGTTGTGTTAAAGAAGCTTCACCTACTCCTTGCCCTCGATGGTCTCCAGCAGACACACACACACTTCCATTCCCTGATCCCTGTGGAAAAGCTCCAGGCTGGCTCATCACTCCAAGTTGAAAGTACACTGGAGTCAACCCTGGAGGGTGACCCTCTTCCTTGCTTCCCTGCCCCCTCCTTCCTAAAGAACCTTCATCCACCCCTTGGAGTTCTCCCGAGATGTCTCTGCGATCCCAAAGGCCTCACAGCATTGTAACTACTAAAAACCTTCTCATTCCCTGTCCTAGTTTCCCATGCTGAAATCACATGCAGGATACCCTTGCTTGGACAGAAGCCTTTGTTCATGAAAAAGTTAAGTTTAAAGAAATGGACAGTTCCACCACAAACAAGCCCGACGTGGTGTCCTACAGGACACCAGCAGCGTATCCGATTCACTCCTTGAGATCTCACTCCTGTACAAACTCTCAAAACCTCACAATATATGGGGAAAAAAAACAACTTCTGCAGTATAAAAGTACAGAAACCCCACAACAAACCACACTTGAGAGTTCTGGAGGTGACACAGTGCATTCCAAATGATGTTTTGAAATTGTTCTCCACATAACTGGCATATTTGTTTACAGTCTATGATTTTCTTTACACAGCATTCAAGCATCACTCCTTTTTTTTTTTCTGAGTGCCTGAGTACTTGTCAGATGCCTTTCATGGGGGTGACAGGGAACCATCTGCCTCTCTCCCTATCCCTACTGCCACCTGTTCTTTTGCAGTCCCCAAAGGCAGTGCTGAGCAGTCCCAGATTCCCTGGATGGGGTTGGGTTACAGGGCCTGGCTCAATGTCCCCTCGTGTCACCAGCACTTCACCTCCAGCAGGGAACCCCCAACACCTCCACCACAGAGGTTTTCACAGACCACACACAGTAATGCTGGGGTAACATGACAAGAAATAGCTTTGCTATAATGGAGTGAGCATTGGTGTATCTGGTCCATAACTGGGCTGGCCAATGAGGACTGGAAGCAAAAAAAAGCTGGTTTTGTGTAAAAAAGGGCAAGGAGAGATTTGAGGGTGCTGAGAAAGTTCTTCCTTCTCACTGGGATATGCTGAGTTCTCCATGGGGGCATCTGCAGGACATCAAATCACTCATCTCTCACTCCACGAGGCAAAGAGAGGAGCAGAGACTGACAAAGTGCAGAGAACTTCCCTTCCTGGAGGGAGCTCTCAAACTCCCCCTAAAAAGCAGAGCCACAACTCCAGTGAGATTCCCAAAGAAACTGAGTGTCCAGGAGAAGGTCAGTATCTGAGAAACAGGGACACAACTTCAAATCCCAAAATATTTGGAAAGCTCTTCATCTCCCTTGCAGAATTCTACACCTGAAGTTCAGTACAGGGGATAAAGAGGATTTAACTCAGACCACTGACCTGAATCCTCCTCCCTCCTCCCCTCCCAACCTTCTCAATTACAAAGACTTGTCCTAGAAATCTCTCCTCTCAATGCCACAATTCTTTTACATACTCCTGAAAAAGCAAGAGTTGTGGACTCTGCACAGCCAGTCCATTTCCAAGTACAGTGTAAATTTATTAACAGAATTACCAAAGTTGAAAAGAAAAGCCCCTCCAATAAGCCTTGCAATTTAGCCAGTCAACTCTTTGTTCTGTATTTTCCACAAACAACTTTTGTATGTACTAAAAGTTTTTCAGAACTCAGTCCAAACCCAAAAAAGCCCAACCTAAAAGCAAGTTATGTCTGAACAAGGATTATATTAATCTTTTTGTAGCAGCTGAGAGTCACACACAGACTGGGCCGTGCCCAACACACACACACACACTGGGCACCAGGCAAATCACCAAACTCCTGCTCCCTGAATGCCAGAAATCTGCCCAAACACAGGAAACCTTTCCTGGTAGCAGGTAAATGCTTTTCCAAACTCCCTCGGGCTTCTCATTTCCATTTAACTCATTAGAGATCAATTTGATAAGCAAAAGGGCTAATGAGAAATAGGTTGTCAATAGGCAGAGTTTGCCAGCTCCAGTTGGGAAGGAGCAAACAGAACAGCAAGGGAAGGGATGCACTGCTAACTGGGAAGAACTTTTTTCACATTTAGTCAACAGTTTTTCACGGCAATTACTTTTCAAATTGACGAAGTTGGTATTTCTCATCACTAGGTATGAAATAAATTTTAAAAAAGCTTTCTGAATTAATGACTGAAATGTTCAGAATAGTTTTTGCTCAAATTAGTGTTTTGAATTTTCATACCAAGGTTGCTGTCACGAAAGAACTCCTACATGTGATACCTTCTCCCTTGTTCCCTGAACACTTTGCTGTTCATACACTGTGAGAAGGTAATAAAATATCTGTATTTTCTCCAACTGGAAATGCCAGTTTTCATGTATCACAGCTGAGACACGGCACATTCATTCCTCATTGCACTCCTTTTTATGCCACCACTCCACAGCACAACTCCAAGTACTTTCACAGCTGTCCCATGTGGTTTTCCCAGTGCTGGAGAACAACACCCAAACCCCCTCAGTGTCCCAGGGGTGCATTTCTAAGGCACTGCAGAGCAGGGAGCAGAGCCATACAACTTCAGGGGTGTCTTTACACCCAAATGAGAGTCCACCACTGATCCACATCCTTTGGCAGCATGCAAAAGAGAAAGGACAGCATTATAAGGCAAAGCCCTTCAGGATGGCAGGACGAGCTGCCAGAGCAGGACAGGAAGGAGAAACCACCGGGCAAAGGGCAGCAGAGGGAAGGGAAGAGGAGAGAGACCACAGGAACTCCAGGAATAACAGTAATAGTCATTTATAAACCACTGCTGGGAACTGGGTGCAAGTACAAGCCTGGGCAGGGCTTCAAAACCCAAGGCCATTAATTATTCAGTATTTTTCAAACGTGGAAAATGTGGAATAACGGTTCCGCTTGACAGACCTGGAAACCACTCAGGTGATTAACACAGAGCAGAAATTAAATCACTTTTAATAATTTTTCTGGTAACCTGATGACAGTGGAGCAGTGCTGGATCCGGATGCCTAACCCTGCTCAGAGCCTGGAATCCCAAAGCTCCATGGCATTAAAGCTGCTGAACCCAGGAGAGGGCACCTTGCATTCCCCAAATAATTGTGGGAAGTACCTGCAGCTCTTCAGCCAGCAATGAAACACACCCAGACCCAAACAGGAGTGGAGAAGGAGCTGTAAGAGCACAGCTACTCTACAAAACAATTAGAAAATAACTGGGAAATCTCTCCTTATGGCCCACTCCTGACAGCTTATTCTCTGCACAAACCCAGGGATAGCAGACTCACACCTGTTCAAATTCCAAGTGCGAGGTTCCCTCAGTCCTCCAACCACACCTAAGACTGTTTCTCCTAAATCCTCTCCATCCAAATAAGAAATAAATTAGAATTTTAAAACCATCCCCCCCAAAGGCAACATAAAAGTCCCCCTAAACTATGGGTTTAATGTTTTCTTGTCTGACTCGTCTTTCCTCTCATCCCTCTCACTCGGTTTTCTTCCTTGGGTTCTTAGAAATTATTTTTAAGAACTGTGTGACCTGAAAGAGCCAAACAAGCTGATGCCTTAGTAATGATATTTGTACTATCTTTCTTTTTGTCTTTAATCTTAATTACTCTCTTTCACCATCCCAACCATGCAGGGCACTGCAAGGTGAGCGTTGGCAGTAACTCCACTGACTGGAGCACAATAATAAATATTTATCTTAAGCTGCAGCTGTAACTCAACAAATGTGCAGCTGTAGTTTGCAGAAATGACAAAGTCAAATATTTTTTACACTCAAAGCAGAAAAAAAGCTTCTAACACTGGAATGACTTTGATGTAAAATACTTGATTTGGGGTGGGCTCCATAAGTGCTGCTTTTTCAGGTTTGTGATTTCAGGGTTTGTTTCATTTTGGCTATTCTGTTATTTTTAAATCTCAGCCTGCAGCCATATTTTAATGGTTTATAATTGCACTAAATATTTTCCAAAATACAGGGTGAATCCTACAGAATTCCTTAATTCCCCCTCAGTAACTTTAAGTGTACACAAGATGATGCTGAATCACTCACAGGATTTTAGACAATCATCCTGCTCTAGCTGAGTTACAAATATAACCCATCATGTGGAAAATGTCCCTTGGAATGTCCCTCCCCATCTTTTGGCTCTCTGCTGTCCCAGTTTATCTTACCAAGGTCAAGGATTATCAGCTGGGCTCCAGCCTGTGCATTCCCAACATCATTTTCTGCAATGCACTGGTAGAATCCTTCATCAGACTTCACCAGACCCAAAACTTGCAGGTTATGTTCTTTCTGAGGAGCAAAGGGGAAAAAAACAATGCTTAAAAAAAAGGGCTGCAATTGCCAAAACAATGGTGTCATTTGGGCATTTTTACTGTGACAGGAGGAACTTCCAACAGGAACAGGGTGTTTGGATTTCACCTCCTTTGCACTGAATCCTCAGGTTAGAGGGTATCCAAAGCAGCAGCAGCTCTCACTGGTGGCATCATTTTCAAGCATCATATTTCCCAGCCATTTTGGTGGTATTTTAAGCACTGACTGAAGTGCAGAGCTCCCTGTTTCAACCCCACAACCTCAGGTACACCCAATTATACAGCCATTAAGTTCTCAACTAGGCCTCAGTAATGACATGCACTACATCTAAAATTTCCTCTGGAAGTACCCGTGTGCCAAAACTCACGACCCACAGCTCAGTTATATTTGTATTTCACCTCCTGCTTGAAACTGTGATTTTTATGGAGCACAGACAATGCAGAACCCACAGTCAGTGGTCGTGGTGAGCCTGTACTGGGACAGTGCCTTTTGGCACTCTGTCTGTCTCCTGTGGAAAACCTCAGCTATAAAGACATCAACTCATACAACATAAGCAACATGCATCAAAGGTTTCAACAAACCATTTCTCTTCCAGGCCCTAAACATCAAAAGGGCAAAAGCAGGAAGCAGTTCCTATAAAAGAACCCAGTTTCCATGAACAGACGTAGGAGAACTAACAGGTCAAGAGCTTAAAAACCCACATAATGGACACAATTCACTTACAACAATTTTGAAGTAGTCACTGGGGATCACCACGTCTCCGTTCTTGACCCACTTCACGGTGGGGGTGGGTTTCCCGGTCACCTCACACTCGAACACGATGTCCATGGACTCGTGAGCGTAGATGTTGGCAGGTCGCTTCAGGAACTCGGGGGGAACTGCAGGGAAAGGGCAAGATGGAAAGGGGATGGTGTCAGCACCCAGAAGAACACACCTCACACACAGTCTGGCACACAGGGGTGGCTGTGGGGACTCCAGCAGCAGTAAAGGTTTGTAGCTCAGGGTTTGACAGATGCTGGTACAAACTCTGAGTTCTTTCACAATTGCATTTGGGCCAAGTTGGATGGGGCTTGGAGCAACCTGGTCTGGTGGAAGGGGGCCCTGCCCATGGCAGAAGGTTGGAATGAGATGACCTTTGAGGTCCCCTCCAGCCCAAACCATCCAGCCAATGGTTTGAATTTGGAATGGCCTCTTTGAGAATACAAGAAAGAAGAAATCAAACCAAGATGCATAAAGTGTAAAGTTAAATCTCAGGGAGTCCTCTGTTCTCAGTACTTAAGTCAACAGAAAAAAAAAAAGCTAAAATTATATTAAAAAAGACTTTTAAACATGAATGGACACAAAACTTAAGATGAAACTTTCCTCGGGCACCACTGCTCTGTGTTCCTGTGAAGAAATTCAGGTTATCAATCAGCTGCTGCTGCACTGATCCAAAGAGCTTCTTCTCTGGTGTGTGTAAGCCAAGGAGACTCCATGTACAGGTGCATCCCTGTGCCTCTGGCCCACACTGACAACACCTCAGACATCTGTGAGTGAAGCTGTGTATCTGGTAACAGCAGAACAGACAGGCCCTTCACTAACAACCTGCACCAAAGGTGGTGCCTCTGGGCCTTGGCTGCCTTTAACATGTCCTTAAGTCCTCAGAATGAGAACAATTAAATTCAAGACTTTTAAAATCCATAAAAACTCAGAGATACAGAACTGTTTGGCAACACGAGCCCCAGGTGACCAATGCAGAGACATGACAAAGGCTGTCTGTGAACACACATGTGCCTCCAGGGACCCTCCAGCTGCATGTGAGGCCTCTCCACTCCTTCACTCAGCAGGCCCTTACTGTGTGAGCATCCCCTGCTACGAAGAACACCCACCTATTTGTTTGTTTTCACTACACTTCCCGACACAAGGGCATTTGCTTCCTTGTGCTGGCAGCTCTGATGGTTGGAGTTCCAGGAAAGCCCAAAGCAGCCTTTTGCCCTTTAATATTTAGCAAAGAAAGTCAATATGGAAGGGCCATGGAGTTTAGACAAACAGTTTACACACTTGGCCTGTCAAGGGGATTTATTTCATGCTGAGATACGGAATCCTTGTTTTACTTCTTCCTTGAAATGATGGCAAAGGTCTGTAAATGGATTTAATACCTTATAAACAAAGAGATGGAGATGAGCAGCTCCCCAAAAATCCCTCAGTTTTGGATTATAAATTAATTAGGAGAACACTAATAAACAGAAATATTTATTTATAGAAAGAAGGTGGTTTAACTCTCAGATAAGAGTGTAAATTTACACAAAGCTGCTCAAATTCTCCCACAGGAGCAAAAATCTGGGGTTGAGCCCAGCTGCCTGTGACTTCAGACATGCACTTCACATCCACTTCCCCCAAATGTACCAAACACTCCATCAATCCCACCTTAATTCAGGTATTTTTGGGCTTGCTCTCCAATGGTTATCCCCCTCTACAACTCCGACACTGAAAACTCTCTTCTGAGTTTATTTGTCACAAAACTGCTATTATTTATTCCCTATGAGAATTATTTTTTATTTTTTTATTCCTCCCTGGCATTTATCCTCAGCATTTTTATTTATTGCCAGCTGCACCATTCCTCCCTCCCTTCCCATATCCCTTGATTTTGCCCGGCTCAACAAGTTGTGTTTCCTCAGAACCCTCTGCATTCATCTCCCAGCCCGCCGAGTTTCAATCATTTACATGTAATTTCAGATGTGTCTCACCAGTGCCTTGAAAAATGGCATAAATAGGGTGTCAGCACTACAGCAAATCTCTGCCCCAATCCATCCTGCTGCCTGTCCCTTCCCAGATGCATCATCCTGCTGCCAGCCCCAGACAGATCATTGCTCGCTCATCGTTAGCCGGTTTTAACTAATGAGTCATTTTGTTCCAGCCTGCTTGATCAATAGTTTATGTTCTCATTTCCTTTCCATCTCTGTCTCCACATGTATTCAGACACACACACACACACATATCGATTCCTGCAATGCTGGCAGAGCTGGAAGAAGGGAATATAAATATTGGAAAAGTTCGTTTTTCCACGAACGTACGAAATGCTTCTATTTTCATAACATTTGTTGCAGGTGGATTTTAATTCCTTGGCCACGTATTAAACTTGTCACAGGAACCCTGAGGGGCACAAGCCAGCAACATTCACTGTCAAAACATGAAACTTGTCTAGAAAACTCATCATGGAATCCCAAAATGGTTTGAGTTGGGAGGGACCTTAGAGCCCAGCCCATCCCACCCTCTGCCACGGGCAGGGACACCTTCCATCAGCCCAGGTTGCTCCAAGCCCCATCCAACCTGGCCTGGGACACTTCCAGGGATGGGGCAGCCACAGCTTCTCTGGGCAACCTGTGCCAGGACCTCCCCACCCTCACAGGGAAGAACTGAAACCCAAAACTGAACCCAGTAAAGTTCTGGGATGATTTCTGTTTTCTCCACTAATATTTAACTTGTAATGAAGACATTTGGAAAGTACTCAAATATCTCTGGCAACTGGTATGGCTTCAATCTGGGACATCATCCAGAAAGGGGCACTAATATTGAATCATAAGATTCACATTTTTTGCCACAAAAAATGAAAGTTAACTGGATATCCTATTACCTGCTCTCAATTAGTTTAGATTTAGGAGATTAAGAATTTGAAACACATTATTTTTTCAAAGTGCCTTTGCTTTTCTGGCTTATGGAGCAAATGCCAAGCTGCTTACAAAGGGATAATAACACAGAAGTGCTCGTTTTATCAATTACTTCCCAGTTAATGAATTAATAAATGTTTTTCAAACACACTTCCATAGTTTAGCTGTGTCAGTGTTTAGCATTAACACAATGCCAGTACAGATGTTTGTGGTAGAGAAGTTAAATTGATAACCAGAGAGCAAACGAGCCAATTACCATATAAAATAAGGTTTGCAAGGGAAGATCATGTGTTCTGTTATTAAACAATTAAACTTCAAAGACGACTTGGCAGCTCAGCCCCCTCTCCACGTTAGCAAACAACTACTGGAATGGCAAGATGCTGGCACAGAACTTCACACACCCCTAGAGAGCCCCTACCAGGAGTATCTGCCACCCTTTTATAGAGCAAAGAGAAAAAATATTTTAATCACAACAGTGATCAAAAGAAGAAAGGAAAAAAAAAACAAACAAAAACCAAACTACATCAGCAGTTGATTCAAACTTCTAAGCTACATCCCAATAAAGGTGAAATATTCAAAAAATAAAATGTTTTTTAAGCCAACTGGTCTAAAATAAAGAGAAGGGCTGAGGGACTACACAGGAATTGCACCCAAAGTGATGTGGGAACAGGAGTGGATGATGGACGTGGATCCCATTCCATGTGCGCAGGTGATCAGAAGGAAATGGAGATGGATTCCAGTGCTCAGCAGCTCCTGCCTGTTCTCTTTCATTGAGGGAGAAATTCTGAGCCTTTCAGGGGGCACTTGAAATAATGTTTCAGTTCAGCTTTCGGTGCTGCTGCAGATGAGACAGAAATTCAGGACATTCCTCCTCCCCATCTCCAGAGGAGGAGCTTCCCTCCCAGTCCCACAACCCCTGAGGGAAGAACCCAGGTCTGTGGTTTCCCAACCCCAAACCTGACACTTCAAGCTGAGCTGTAACTACACATGGAAAAGAAGAACTCAAGTTTTTCATCATTAACTACTCACAACTTTCACCCTCCTTAGTTACAACACAGTGAACCTGCTCCTACAGCAACCGAATGAGAACGCTGCTGTTCTGGATCAGAACTCATTTAATGCACATGAACCTTTCCCAAAAGTCAAATTCCCTCCCTGCTGTTCCCCAGAAGGAAAACCCCAAAGCAGAGACTCCTGGTATCAGACTTGAGCCACAAATCAAACCCTGCAGAGGCAGAGGGGACCCCAGGCAGGCAGGGCTGCTCAGACCACCGTGATGGGAGAAATATCTAAAAGTCTACAGCAATTTTTTAAAAAACTTCACCCAAACCAGAACTAGGCATTCCAGCTCTGTTCCCGGCACAGGAGCTGCCCCAGTGTCTCAGTTCCTCACGGATTTCAAACACTCTGTTGTGCATGAGGAGCACAGGAATGGTCTCATTTGCACACTACAGAAACAGGGGTTGCAAATATACTTAAAAAAAAACTTATTCTCTCAATAAAAAGCACTAATAAATAATAATAATAAATAAGCTGTTGGCTCAAGCACAGCATCAGACAAACCCAAAATAAATACAACCTAGTAGTGAGTCCAAACACTTTAACAGTCACAGAATCACAGAATGGTTTGGATTGGGAGGGAAATTAAAGGTGACCAAGTTCCAATCCCTGCCATGGGCAGGGACACCTCCCACTGGACCAGGTTGCTCCAAGCCCCATCCAACCTGGCCTTGGACACTTCCAGGGATGGAGACACTTCCAGGACTATTCCTGTGCACTCTGAAGCAGCGTCAGAACTTCAGTAACAGCCTGAGGCAGACAAAGCACTGAAAGGCAACAACTGAATTTCCGAATAAAAATTGTCCAGGACAAGACTAAAGGAGCCATTTCTGCTTCCTCAGCCACCTACAAATGCCATCAATCCCTAAAAATTAGGAGTGTGTTTTCCAAAGCCACACAATTAAATCAGAGTTCCTGTCACTTCTCCTCATCCCCTTCCCTCTACACTTCTGTCCATGACAAATATATCATCAGCCATCAAATACAGAAGCATTTTCTAATTCCAAAAGTTTTCACAGACCCCAGACAGCAGATAAACTGAGCAGACTGGGTAAATTTCCATAGTGTATCTCAAACAATCACAACTGAAGCATTCCTGGTGAAATGACTGCCATGTATAACCACATTTCTATGGATGCTGGGGGCAGAATCCCTATCTTGTATTTCAGTTA